TCTCAGCATTTATCATCTTACATTCTCAACATCTGAATTTAATTTTCTGGTGCACCTGACTAGAATGTAAGCTCTGTAAGGGCAAGAATGTATCTGTTTTGTGCCTGTCTCCCATTCCCAGCACAGGCAGGCACTCACGAGACCCTTGTTAGATGAGAAGTCAGGGTGTTGGACCCCTGAGTGTATTTATAGAGGCTAAGAGCATAGAGACTGCTTGTTCCATTTCCAGTTTCCACCGATGATGAACCGTGTCACTTTGCGCGAGTTACCTAAGGTTTCAAAACTTCCAATTCCTCATCTGCAGAAGTGGGAGGAGTGTACCTGTCTATACGTCATGAGTTGTGAGAGTAAATGAAATCAGGCATTTAGAAAGCTTAGAACAGAGCATGGCATGTTGCTGGCGCTCAAAACACCACTATGACTATTATTTTTATGCCAAGAAAACTTGAGATCCATTCTTTAAAAGTATTTTAATTACATGCAAATATAGAAACATCAAAACCAACCTGCTGAAGTTAGCTTTTAGAATAAGTTATTAGGGAATAATTTCTTGTTTTTAAAGAATTTATAGTGAGCATCCTTCTCATAAGTTTGCTAGCTATTTCTCTCAAACTCACCTAGAAAAGACTAAAATGATATAAAAGTGAATAGAAATGATTTTAAATTCCCTTTAACACTAAATAGACAAAATTAGCTTACAGAAAACAATTATGGAAAAAACAACTTAGCAAGAAAGCTCAGAAACCTATAACGCTAGGCAAGTCATTACAAGTATGGGATGTCCTCCTGGTTTGAGAGGCATTTATTTTATTAACCCACAATAAACTGAATTAAAGCAAAGGTTTATCCTTTTGAAATGTTACTTTTCTTTCTCCAGAAGAAAAACTAAAGACTATTTCTTTCATGAGGTCTTTCTTCAGGCTCTGGTATAATCAGACCAACCCCGGAACATTCTTTTTCCCCAGAGTCCTAAGGCACTTAGGGGCCATTTCCACACCCTTTATACACCCTTTTTGTGCGGCTCTGTGGTTGAGTCATAAACACGCTCTTGCCCTCTCCGGGTAGGTTACATGATCCACAGGCCAGGAGTGTGTTCTGTCTGACTTCCGTAATCCTACCTTGCTCAGGCTGGTCACTGGAAGGGCAATCACAGCGTTATATGAAGGAAAACACACATTTATCATCTAAAGCCTGATAAGAACTGGTATTGCCTTCAGAAGAAGGTGGCAGATAGGTCGAGACGCCTGAATGAATCATGAAGGATTTAACGAAGCAGTGATTCACTCAGCAGCAATTTGCAATAACCGTGTAACATCTTTTAAATTTAAACATCTTCTAAATCTCGGGCCAAGGGCCTGAGAAGAGAAATGCCAATTTCTAAGCCATTCAGTTAAATGTGAGAATTTTAATTTTTCAAAATTTATAGCCATACTAAGAGTAGTTTTTTTAAGATTTATTTGAGAGAGAGAGAGAGAGAAAGAGCGAGAGCGAGCACAGGCGGGGATGGGGATAGAGCAGGGAGGGAGAAGCAGACTCCACGCTGACCAGGGAGCCCAATACAGGGCTCAATCCTAGGACCCTGAGATCAGGACCTGAGCCGAAGGCAGATGCTTAATGACTGAGGCACCCACGTGCCCCAAGAGTAGTTCTTTAGCCTGATAATGTGAAGACTAAGAGAATGGGCTCCAGAGCCCTACCGCCTGGTTTGACTCCTACCTCTGCCACTTACTAGCTGTGTAACCCTGACAAATTATTTAATTTCTGTGTGGTGTTTTCCTCAGTCTGTCAAATGAGGACAAGCCTCACAAAACCACTCTGAAGGTTAAATGTACTCAATGATATAATTAAGACATTTAATCCTAAGACAGAGCCTAAAACTTGGTAAGCATTTTTTAAGGATACGCTGCTATCGCTGGCATTATAATTATTATTATCCTATTTTCCCCCACAATCTCATCTTATTTAATTAGAGTGGTTAAAACACACACATACTCTTAACAAAGATACGTTGCATCTGGCTTGTTGTCATCAGTCATCATCTGATTTCATACAAATTTAGCTATGGTCATCATGCTGCATATTATCATTTCCAGATTTTGACAGGGAAAATGCAAGAGCTCCATTGATTTTAATCACAGTTCTCTCTCATACTCAGGTTAAACCTTCAAGAAAATGTCTATTATTTCAAGTCCAGATCTGGTTTTCTACTTAGTTCTCTGAAAGGATTTATTGAAAACCCCAGCTAGAACATTCCTGCCGCTTACCTTCAGGAGAGTAACTTTGTATACAGAGTACAGAGGATGTCCATTTGGTTTCAATATTCTAATACACAAACACCACATTGTACGGTAAATGGCAACATTCTCTCAGTGATCTAAAGGCACACTGTTTTTGCTCCTTGATCTGTTCTGCTTTTAACTCTGTGGTGATTAAATTTCCTGTCCCCTACAACAAACACCTCTCAATTTAATGTGAGCATCCAAACAAGCTAATTGCTGTTATTACTTTTTTTTTTAATACAGCATAATCAAGTTAGTCTTCCAACAGTTCAAATAAAAACTCAAACGTGAATCCATGAAGTTTCTGGTTACATTAATTTTTTTTTCCATTTCTATATAGAAAACCACCAAGTAAAAGAAAACTTAGTAACACAGATTCAAAAGTCTAAATACGTAACTGAGTTATCAAGTTTCTTTATATAAGTTAATAAATGCTCAATAAATGTCCTTGTCTTTTCATTCAGAGTAAACAGACCTACTTTTCTCTTAAGGCAGGATATTATAAAGTATACAGAAAAGGGACTTTAAAATTCTTAACTCTTCAGTGGAACTGATCATCTACATAAAAGATTCCCATTGTTGAAAATACAGTTCAGCACCCCCACCCCGCTTCCTCCCAGCCATAGGGGCATCTCAAGACCTCCAGTAGATGCCTGAAACCACAGATGGTACCAAACCCTACGTGTACTGCTTTTTCCTACACATACATACCTATGATCAAGTTTAATTTATAGATGAGTTATAAAAAGAGATCAACAACTAATAATAAAATAATTATAGCGATATACTATAACAAAAGTTATATCCTCACCCTTCCTCCTGTGATGGTGTGAGGGGATCAAGTGCCTGCACCAGGAGCTGGGTTGAGGTGAATGACCTAGGCGGTAGGATTTAGCATCAGGCTACTACTGACTTTGTAACAAAACATCAGAAGGAGGATCACCAGCCTCTGTACCACAACTGACTGAGGCTAACTGAAATCGTTGATGTCACAGAACCCCAGAGAGCCGGGACTACTGCATATCCCGGGCACCGGCCTCATCTCCTGAGAGGATGAGCACTTCCGGTTTTCTGGGTTTTGAGCATCCTGTGGTCCAGAGAAACTTACTAGTAGTAGACACCGCTCAGAAAGTTAGGCAAGCACCCAAACTGCCCCTAGAAAGAGGAGTGTAAACGTTGATAGGTCCCTACATTCTCAAACCCTCCCACTTCACAACACAAGGCTGAAGCCCAGGGTGGGTAAACGACTTGCTTGTGTAGCTCACTGTGCCAGAACATTACTAGAACACAGAGCTCCTAACCTAAAGGCCAAGGTGCCCTTGGTCATGGCTCTCTAGCGCCACCAAGCCACAGGTGCTCCTAACATCCAAACAGGGAGGGACTCCCCATCATCTGTCTACGACCCTTCCCATCATCAACCACTGATCCTGTCATCAACACTAAGAACCAAAGCTTTGATCTCACTGTGCCTCAACTCCCCCTAACGGTGGCAATATCTAAAATCAGAATCATTGTTCCCCTTCTGGTTTTCTTCCCAAGGACAAGAACTTCGAGTGAATTCTTTCTTCCCACTCAGCTCCTCCAGGGATGGGAATGGAATGTACCGCCGATCCCTCTTCCTCCACCCATACAACGTCCTGGCTTTGCTCCTCCCAACCCAGGATCTTACTGCCAGCCCTGAATCTAAATAAATCACCCTCAAAACACTTCTAGTCATTACAGGTTTCTCACACATCAGGCCTCAAGACAGATTTAGCAAATAGAACCTGAAACTATCAAGGTGTAGAGAGGTAATGACATCCTCTGGGACCTGCTTGGTTTTGTTAGTTTCTGCTAAATGTTCTCACATGTGTTGACACATCATTCTAGAGGTACCTTTTTTTCTTTCTTCCCCCCCAGATCATTCAACAGTAGTTACTATTTTTATAAGGGAACTTACTTCTAAATCCATCGGGCATGCCTTTAATTTGCACAAGGTAGTACCTGTTAAAATAAAGGGTGTTCCCTGCACAGTGTTCTCAGTCAACTGGAATGGGTAGCAGTGTTTTGTCTTTGTACAGAACACGCTGACTTTTCCACTTCCTGTTCTGATCTATAACCCAGAAAAGTCCATCTATCTGCCAAATTTTTAGTAAGACACCTAATAGCTACTCTTAAAGGACTCAAATTTCATAAACCTAACAGGACTTTGAAACTATTACTTCTAAAATATAAACCAATGTAAATAAAAGTTTGTCTTGGCGCAGCTAAACTTCTCAGTCACTCTTATATCCCTGAAATTTTATCATACATCTTTCAATAAAGCTCAAGGAAAAATTAATCTCCTTTCACATAGTGAGGGCCCACAATGAGTCTAGTATATAACATTTATGTATTATTAAGCACTTAAACATTTATAAAAATAACTTAATTGTGAAATTATTGTATATAGCAGGCACCCAATTGTTTATGATTTTTCTTAATAACTTAGAAGTTGGTTTACGCACCTGTATCTTTCTCTAACTAGCCTTTCCGTTGCTCAAAGATCAGAGCTGTGTCTAAGACTTCTTTTTTCTACCTTCCCTACATAACATGCTGATACACAAAAACGTAAATGTTATAGTGACAAAATGTGTTAGTTTTATAACCAAAACCTGTCTTTCTGCTTTCTGACATGCTTTATTTTATATTCAAATAATTCACAAAATGCTATCAGGCACAACTCATTTCTTTCATTCTTACCAGAACTGGACACGCGCCGGATCCTCTGCGGAGATAAGGCCCGATCAGAATTGAGGTTTCTACTGTCACTATTCCGCCTCAAACAGGAAACAGAGGGCCCTACTTTGGCTTTTGAACCAGGTGTTTTCCTCAGATTGGAGGAGTCAGGCTTAGATGATGCAGCCGCAGATTTTGAAGGAGAACCCTGTGAAAAAATAGTTATGATTTTAAACTAGATCAGACCTTCCTCATACCATTCTCCTTGTGGTGCTACAACCACATAACAATTCTAAGCAGATACGCCAGATATTTAATTTTCACTTTTAATATGAAGGAATTAAACCTCTTCATAGTTCATTCTTCAGTCCATCGTGATCTGACTTTAGTGGCCATCAGTGGAACTATTCCAAGATGACCAGCAACACAAGCTGAAGTCAAGCCACAGCTTTCAAGCTGTTCTCTGCAGCCCCTTCCTACAGCATCGGAGGCTGAGGACGCCATCTTTCTTTGATTTCTCCAACACAGAACATTCCTGGTTTTCCTTCTATTTGTCTGGTTATTCCGCCTCTGGATCCTGCCTCAATGCTACTTGTCCCAAGGGTACTAAACGTGACCCCGGTCTTTCCTTGTGATAAGCTCTCCCTAGGTGATCTTGTCCACTGTTTTAACCGCCACCTATACATCCTGTTCTCTCTGCAGTCGATGGGTCCTTGCCAGCACTCTCCTGCATTTCCCATGTATTTCGCTTCTTTACCTGTCCACCTAGCATTTCTTCAGGCACCTCTACTTAGTAATGCCAAGAATAATCATATTATTGTTGTTTTTACAGATCAACGTATAACCCTTATGGAATAATACCTAAAGTTCAAAAATACATGTTTCCAATTTAATCATCATTTGATTTAATCATCATAGACTAGAAGTTGTTACTTTTAGCATACCCCATCTCACAGAAGCATATGAAGTAGTTTCTAACTTTAAACTAGTTTTACCCATCCATCTCAAAACTTATCTCTTCCCATATTCACCACAACATACCCAGGCACCCAACATAAACAATGAAAGCTATTTCTTTCCTAGGTACTTCCTTTTTTTTTTACTTCCTAAACTCCTGACAGTCTTCTTTCCCTTTTGCATCCACCTTGGCACAAGCCTGCGTCATTTCTTCCCTGGATTACTGAAACCACCTCCTCAGGATTTCTGAGCTCACCAGCTTCCACTCCAATTCAAGTTCTATTCCACTGTTTATGTAACCTCCTCAAAGGAGAAACTGGGTTAGGCAACCTGCCTCTGTCTTCCAGATAAGGGCAACTCCTAACAAGGCACACCCCAGCCCCTTTGGGTCTAGCAACCCCTGCGATCTCCTTCAGCTTGTTCCTTAATGTTCGCAGTTCTACACCGCTGTCTCCCACCATACTCACTACCCTGGAGTCCCCTAAATGAGAAGATATTCTCACGTTTCTTCATCGTTATGTAGGTTATTCCTCTACCCAGAATACCCTTCCCATTCATACTTGCCCTTGGAGTTCCAACTAGTGGCTAACATGATAGTTCCCCTAGAAGCTTCAACAACTCTCCCCACTGTCACCACACCATCCCACCTTCTGCAGCATAGTAGCTTACACATACTCCCAATATTTAATATGCCTTTTTGCTTTATCTCTTAAAATTACCCACCACACCAGGTATGAGTTTTGACCAGATGTGGTATCTTTTCTTTCTAGTATCCCAACAATCATCATCATATACAGTACACAGTGAGTGGCCAATAAATATTCCCATTCTCCACACAGAAAACAAGACCCCGAGCTTTATTCAACGAAAAATCAACACTGTAAGCTAGTTTTGTACTCTCCCTTTACATAAAGAAAAACTGAGTCTCACAGAGACTAGGTTATTTGCCCAATGTCCTTCTTCCAACAAATGATGGAGCTAATCTGAAAGCATATGTAACTCTAAATTCATACTTCTAACATCCATGCTGTGTATTCCCCATGGGTACCCTTCTGTCTTTAATAAGTCATAAGTAGATAATTTCCAACACAGATATGTAAAGCCCCATGCTACTGAGCATTCATATACCAGGTGAATTAAAAATTCAATAGGGCAAGACTTTTAGGGAAGATGGTAGAAGAGGGGGACCCTAAAATTATGTCATCCCACATAAACTAAATAATCCTCCCATCAGTGCAAATAACCCAGAAAAGTACCGGAAAACTAGCACAACAAACTCCACAAGTAAATGTGAGTAAGAGGTCACATTAAAGGTGGGGACGGGATGGGGGGGGGGGGGTAAGGTCAGAGACATGGTGGAAAGCTAAACCCAGAGATTCTAGATAACAGGAGGCAGGAGCTATGAGCACAGGAGAACATTAAGAAACAGACTATCAAACCAAGGAGCCTGCATGGGGAAGACTAATCTCCACATCATTTGGCTTTGAAAATCAGAGGGGCTGATTTTGTGAGTTCTTACAACCAGCAAGACTTAAAGCCTGGAATATTAAAAATCAGCAGGCTGCTCAAGGAGAGACTGGAGGGCTCTAGGAAGCTGTGTCCTCAACCTTAAAAGAGTTAGCAGAACAAACAGGCTGAGGAGATACAACTTAGAAGCAGCATTTTGAAAAATGCCTGGGGTATATAAGAGGGAAAGTTAGACTGCATCTCTGAACTCCCTCAGAAGATCCATGCACCTTGTAAAACTGTACTCCCACTCAGATGTACTTCATGGAGCAGCCATGGCCAGCCCCTCTCTCCACAGTGGCTGAGTGTCCCCTGTGGAGAAGGAATGGCACCTACGGCTTGTGGCACCAAGACCTCACTTTCCATACTTCACAGAGCTACCCTGCCTGGCCTCCAGTCTCTACAGAGGCTATACAATCCCAGTGGAAGAGGACCCAAAGGAACAACTTGCAGCACCCTGCCCCCACCTGCATGCACTGAAGCAACCCAGACAGGCCTGGTCCTGGAGGCAGCAGAGAGGTTCCTGTGAAGTGGGCCAACATGACCGTGTTATTTAAAATGTGGGCCCTAGCCACTGCTTTCAAGAACAACAGATGGAGCTGACTTTCCCAACACACAGAAACAGACACAAAGAGTTAGGCAAAATGAAGAAACAGAAGAATATGTCCCAAATGAAAGAACAGGGCAAAATCATAGCAGGAGACCTAAACAAAACAGAGATAAGTAATAAGCTTGATAGAGAATTTAAAGTAATGATCATGAAGATAATCACTGGACTTGAGATAAGAGTGGAGGACATCAGTGAGACCCTTAACACAAAGAAAAAAAGAACCTATCGGAGATGAAGAATACAATAACTGCAATTAAAAAACACTTGTGGAATAAACAGGTTAGAGGAAACAGAGGAACGAATTAATTACCTGGAAGACATAGTTACGGAAAGTAATCAAGCTGAACAAGTGAGAGAAAAGATAATTATGCAAAGTGGAACAGACTTAGGAAACTCGGGTTGTAATAACATTCACAATATAGGGATCCCAGAAAGAAACAAGAAGAAGGGAGAAAATTTGAAGAAATAGGTGAAAACTTCCCTAATCTTGGGGAGGAAAAAAATATCCAGATCTAGAAGGCACAGAGATCCTAACAAAAAGGTCCAAACCAAGACACACAATAATTCAAGTGGCAAAAAGTAGTGATAAAGAATTTTTTTTAAGATTTATTTATTTATTTGAGAGAGAGCAAGCACGCAAGAGAGAGACAGAGATCAAACACCAAGCAAGGGTTGGGGGCAGGAGCAGGAGAGAGGAAGAAACAGACTCCCTGCTGAGCAAGGAGCTCAATGTGGAGCTCGATCCCCAGACCTGGAGATCATAACCCCAGCCAAAGGTAGATGCTTAACTGACTGAGCCACCCAGGCACCCCAGTGATAAAGAATGTTAAAAGCAATAAGAGCAAAAGACAATTACATACCAGGGAAATCCCATAAGGTTATCAGCAGATTTTTTTAGTGAAAACTTTGAATAGATCATGCCACTCCCTTCTGGCCTGCAAAGTTCTGAATGGGAAAAATCTGTAGCCAAGAATATTCTATCCAGCAAGGCTATCATTCAGAATAGAAGGAGAGACAGAGCTTCCTAGACAAAAAGTAAAGGAGCTCATGATCACTAAACCAATACTACAAGAACTACTAAAGCAGACTCTCTGAGTGGAAAAGAAAGATAATAAGTGAGAGTATGAAAAGTAGGAAACATAAAATAGGTAATAAGTATTTCTTGAAAAAACAGTAGAGATTCACAAAATAAAAGGATATGAAATATGACATCATATACCTAACACGTGGTAGGAAGAGTAAAGAGTGGGTTCAAACTTAAGTGATCATCAACTTCATATAGACTATTAAAAATCCAGACATTACACAAACCTAATGTTAACCACAAATCAAAACAAACCAGTACTATATATACAAAGACTCCAAGTATATCACTAAAGAAAACCAGCAAACCGTGAAAGAGGGGGAGTGAAAGATCAGAGAGAAACCTAGAACAATCACAAAACAAGTAACAAAATGGCAATAAATACATAACTGTCAATAATTACTTAGAATGTAATTGGACCAAACTCTCCAGTCAAAAGCTGTAGAATGACAAAGTGGATAAAAAACAAGACCTATCTATATGCCACCTATAAGAGACTCATTTCAGACCTAAAGACACATGCAGATTGAAAGTGAAGGGATGGAGAAATATTATGTAAATGGAAGTCAAAAGAAAAGCCTTTCACTGGAAAAAAATAGACTTTAAAACAAAAACTGTAAAAGAGACAAAGAAGGACAGCATATAATAATAAAGGGGACAATCCAACAAGAAGAAATAACAATTGTAAATATTTATGCACCCAACAAAGAAGCACCAAAATACATTAAACACTAAATAACAAACAAAGGAACTAACTGATACCAATACAATAATAGGAGACTTTAACACCCTACTTGCATTGAAGGACAAATCAACCAAACAGAAAATCCATAAGGAAACAATGGCTTTGAATGACACAATGGAACAGATGGATAAACAGATATATTCAGAACATTCCATCCTAAAACAGGAGACTACACATTCTTTTCAAGTGCATACGGAACATTCTCCAGAATAGGTCACATATTAGGCCACAAAACAAGTCTCAACAAATTCAAAAAGATTAAAGTCATACCATCCATCTTGTGTGACCACAACACTGTGAAATAAG